GGGATCGGAGGCCCCAGGGCGTCCCCTCGGGCTCTGCTTCTCAGGGGTATCCACCATGCAAACAGACGGAGGCAGGATTAGCCGGGGATTTGTCATTTAGATTGATTCACTGAAAAAAAAAATATAATCCTTGTTCAATGATACTAAACAAATTAACTAAAGTCAATAAAAGATGTTTCTTACAACGCTGGGGATCTGCTGTGAGCGGGGAAAGGGGCTTATCCTGCAGCGATGCTGAAGCCCACCCTGGGGTGATGGGGGAGATACCGTCCCCCAAAATTAAGCACTTGCAAAGCAGCAAAAAAATCACATGTTTTTTGGAAATCCTGGGGATTTGGGGGGGCCCTGGGTGATGTTCTTCAACACAGGGGTCCCTCGGGAATAAATCCTGTTGCCTGCGATCTGCTGGGGAAGACCTGGATCAGCGGCGTGAAGGGGAGCAGGAGCCAGCGCAGGGGTTTGTATTTGGTCTTCGGGGAGCAAGGTGGGGGGTTTGGGGTTCCCCTCCAAGGTGGGGGCCTGGGGGGGGTCCCGCCAAGGTGGGGTTTTGGGGTTCCTCCCATCTTGAAGGGGCTGGGAGCGGGGTGCTGTGGTTGCCCTGCATGGGTGGGATGCTGGTGCGTCTGGGCAGCGTCGGGCCCCATCCCACGGCTGGAGCAGCCTCGGGGGGATGCGGGGGCGCGGGATCCATGCGGCACCCGTCGCGCTCAGGGCTCGGGGCAGGATCCACCTGGAAATCGGCTCCACGGGGACCGGGAAGCGCCACGGCTGTGCCAGGGCAGCCGTGCGTGGGGACAGCCCCGTGTCCTTCCCACACGCGCCTCCGCCAGAGCCCCTTTCACTCTGACACTGATTTAAAATCAATAGATACAGTTTATTTATTTAAAAAAAAAAAATTACACAGTTTCAGCCAGTTCCTTATAAAAATATCACCCCTGCCCAGGGCTGCTCCCCAAAAGGCAGCCCCAGGGGCTCGGGGGGGCCGGGCTCTGCCCCGTCCAGCCTGGGCAGCACATCCCTGCCACGGTTTGGTACCCCGGTGCCGGCGGGGTTGCGGACCCCCCCCAAACATATTTACAGCAGCGGGAGGGGGGCCCCCGGCCGCCCGCCTCTGGCCCCGTGCCCTTGGCACTGATGTCACGAGGTGGCTTTGAATCTTGGGTTTGGTTTTTTGGTTTTTTTTTTTTATACAAACAAAGGTACAAAATGCACCAAAGTCTTTGGAGGGGGTGGGTGGGGAGCCCCTCGTACCCGTCCTACCGCAGCGGGGGGGCGCGGGCTACCCCCGCACCTTGTCGTAGTCGCTCACCATCCGCTTGATGTGGAAGAGTTTGTTGCGCAGGGTTTTGGTCTCCAGCTTCTTGGTCTGGTAGTCGGGGCTCTGAAAGGCAGCACGGGACCGGCGTCGGCTGCGGGGAAGGGGCTGCAGCCGGGGTGGGGGGCACGGTTCCCCCCCCCTCAGCTGCATTGCACCAACCCAGCCCCGCTTTGGCTGGAAACGGAGACCGGCCGTGCTCCGCACACTCACCCGCTTTAGGTCCTTCAGCCTGTTGTACTCCTCTGCGACGTCCTGCGAAGGGAACGGGTGGCGGGGGGGTCACAACTGGCGGGCACCACGGCCGGGGGCCACGAAGGTGGGTGGCCCCTGGGGACGAGCAGTGACCTGCACCCCGCAGCGTCCCTGACGCCCTACAGCAGCCATCCCCGATGCCCTGCAGTGTCCCCAGCGCCCTGCAGCGTCCCTGATGCTCTGCAGCAGCCGTCCCTGATGCCCTGCAGCATCCCCGATGCCCTGCAGCAGCCATCCCCGATGCTCCACAGCATCCCGTGGCCCCGCAGCAGCCATCCCCGATGCCCTGCAGCATCCCAGTTGTTCCACAGCATCCATCCCTGATGCCCCACCGTGTCCCAGTGGTCCCACAGCATGCCCACGGCCCGCGGAGAGCCCTGACCTGGTACTGGGGACTGTCCTCGGAGATGCTGTCAAGCTGTTTGTTGAGCTGGTTGAGGCGGTCGTTGACGCCGTCCATCTCGGCACAGAGCTGCTTGTAGCGCTTCAGGTCGGTGTCGAACTCCTGCTTGTACTTCTGGCGGGCGCCGTCCGAGGTGATGGGGGGGTAGAGGCTGCAGGAGAGGGGCAGGGTCAGGCCCAGAGGGGCAGCTCTGGGCGCCGGGGGGCTCCCAGGGGTCCCCCCCTCACCTGGCCCACTGGTCCTGGTCCCGCTCGTCACCGGACTCCACGGCCGTAGTGTAGTCGGTCTCGTACTGCGACTCGTCCAGCTCGGGGTTGCGGCGTCGCCGGCGGCCGCGGCGAGCAGGGGGCCTGGTGGGCTGCTCCCGCACCTTCTCCTCCGCCGGGCTGGGGCTGACCGCCCGGTCGGGCTGGTCGCTGCGAGGGACATGGGGACATCAGCCAGCTCAGCACGGGGCGAGATGAGAGCCCAGGGTCCCCCCCGAGCCCTTCCACCCCTGCCCGGCCACTCACCCCTGGCTGCTGTAGGTCCCTGAGGGGTAGTACCCGTTCTGGGGCGGGTAGCTGTAGGAGGGCGGGCTGTACGGTGGCGCGGTGATGGGGCTCGTTGGCTTCTCCGAGTAAGCGAGCGTGGCCGTCTCGTCCTGCACGCTGGCCCCGTCTGCCACGTTCTTCACCTGGAGCAGGGAGAGGCGCTCAGCCGTGTGCCGGGATGGTGGGGACACTTGCCCACCCTCGAGCGGGGCACGGCCCGTGGCCCCAGGCACATGGGGACACCGGTCTCCATCCTACGTGGCCAGAGAAACCCCAGAGCAGCCGTGGCAGCCCTGCCCGGGGTCCGGCAGGGATGGGGACGGGCAGGGGGACGAGCCCTGGCAGGGGGGCATCCCACAGGGCTATGGCGAGCGGGGCGGGGGGCGAGGGATGGGAGGGCAGAGCAGCGCTTGGGGAGGGGGGAGGCTGCAGGACGCACACACGGGCTGCACAGACGGACACACAGCTCGGGGTGGGTCCCGGCCCCCTGTTCTGCACCCCCAGGGTGACAGCCCCCAGGCTTTTGCCCGCTCGCCCCATCCAGCATCGCCCCCCGTCCCGGACCCTCACTGGTGCCCCGGCACAGCCAGGGCTCCTCAAGGAGGACATGGGGCTGGAGGGACAGACGTCCGTCCGTCCTTCCCTCCCCCTTCCTTCCTGGCCTTTGTGGGTTGTTTGTGCCGGAAGCCGGTCCCTGCCCGGGATGGCGGCCCTGGGGACGTCAGCTGCGAGCTCCGGCCGGCGAAGCCGCTTCCTCCGGCACTTTCCCCCAGACTAACGAAGACACCGCTAATTGGGGGCCAGCCCCGCTCTGCCCGACGGGGCCACCAGGTGAGACAGCCACCGGCGGCCACCAGCGTGGGGACAGCCACGTCCCTGTGCCATGCCAGGACGGAGGCAGCGGCGCCTGGCGGCTCACGCCCGTTCGAAGGTCACCCGTTTATCTCAGTCCCGACCATAAACAGGGAACGAGACGTCCCAGGAGGGCTTCCCACCCCGGTACCTCCCCACCGCTGCATCCCACCAGCTGGGACGGTGGCACCCGGCAGAGCGGGGACCCCAAGGAGCCGGCGAGGGGGAGCCCGGGTGCGCGGGGTGCAGCCGGCCCGGCCCCCTGCGGGCCAGGAAATGCTTTACAAGGGAGGGACTATTAACAAAAATAAATAATCCAGAACAAAGGTATTTCTGCAAAATGAAAAATAAATATTAGACCTGCACACAGAGCGAGGCGTGGGGACGCAGGCACAGAGCGGAGCAAAGCTTTCTGGGGCTTGAGAGCAACGTTGTGCTCAACTCTGGGCCTGTCCAGAAGGTTTGAGACAAACGGGACAACCGTCCCCACCCCGGGCTCCGGTGGGGAGCCCAGTGCCTGAGCACCCCGGGCCGCCTTGGTCCCACAGGGCTGGGGACCAGGATGGGATGGGGCCCATTGCTGCGTCCCAGCTCCCCCGGGGGCCTGGCAGCCCCTCCTCGGCTGGGGCACAGCAGCACCCCGAGAGCCGTGCTCCGGCGCGGATTTCAAAGGCTCCTTCCCCGTGGGATGCTGCAGAATTCCCGCACCCTCCCCAGGCACCAGCTCCTGTGGAGACACTGGCTCGGGGAGCCGCAGAGCGAGGACAGGACGGGGCACGTCCCGGCGCGCAGCGGGGCCAGGCTGGGACCGGCATCTCCCCGGGGCCACGGGGGCTGAGCTGCAGCGGGGGGCTCGCCAGCACCCCCCACCCAAGGGACACGGGCTCATTCGAAGCCCGAACGGTGCCGGTTTGGTTACTCCAAAGCCCCCGGCTCCTTCTGTGGCAGTGGGGTGGCACGGCCCTGCAGAGCCGAGTTAATCATTGCCGAGACCGAAACCAAACGGTGTCGACGGGCAGTGTCTCCGGCTGGTGTCCCCAGCGCGGGGCGAGCAAAGGGGAGAGGACCCGGAGCCTCGGCGCTCCTGGCACCCGGCCCATCTGATCCCACCCTGTTTGTCTTTCAGGGAGTTCGAGACCAGCTCGCCCAGCCCGGCACCCTGCGCCAAGCCTCGCCACGCCAGGGAACAGTGCCGGCTGGGAAAAACCACAGCGCCTGAGCGGGGTGACAGGGAGGGACCCAGCACGCACCGGGCACAGCGTCGCACCGGCAGCGATAACGCCGCACCCCGGGAGCGGCCTTGCTGCAGCGTGCAAACACGCCAGGGCGGCACACGCTGGGCAGGAGGGTCCTGGCACAAATCTGGGAAAGGGGAATGGCTCGGGCTGGGGCTCGGCACAGCCCCAGTGCCGGGAGGAGCCCCGGGGTCCCCAGGCAGCCCCTGTGCTCTCCCCGGCACAACCTGGGGACGGTCAGCCCCGCTGGTAGAGGGCAGGCAGGGAGGCTGCTCGGGGGGAGGCGGCGGAAGACCCTCCCCAGCCCCGGGCACCCACCGGCACCCCCAGCCCACGCTTGGACTCACCCACTCCTCCACGTTGGGACCCTCCTGGGCCACCGGCACCTTGTCCCAGTAGATGTTCGGTTTCCCGTACTTCCAGATCTTGCTCCGCGTCTTGTGAGCGAAGAAGCAGATGAGGCAGAGCAGGATGACGATGAGGAACCCGCAGACGATGGCCACGGCCTGGGGGGGCAGAGGGACGGGGGTCTCAGGACGGGGGTCCCGTGGGGATGCAAAGACCCCGTCCCAGCCAAGCCGGGGGGTCCGGTCACCCTGCACCTCCTTGGGGCTGAGCGGGAATTGCCCCCCTCATCCCAAATGCTCCCAACGTTGGAGCCTCCACCACGGCGGGGGGAGAGGGGCAGGGTCCCCCCGTGCCTGGGCAGCCGGGACAGAGCCCATCAGGGGTTCGGGAGCTTTTGGGGCCAGCTCAAGAAATGGAGCGGGGGGAGTGATTTTCCCACAGGGACAGGACAAGTTTGGGGCTCAGGGAGCAGCAGGGAGCTGGCACCCTCCAGCATCTCCGTGCAGCTCCCCGGCCCCGCTGCCAGCCCAGCCACGGGCCAGCTCCTGCACCGCAGAGCCAGGGCCCTGCCCGGGTGGTTTCCCACAAGCCAGATCCCTGCAGCTGCACCGAAATCAGGGCCGGGTGAGGACGGATTAGGCCACGCTTGGCCTTTGCATGGAACGAGAGCAGCGCGGGTGCTGCGGCTCCCCCCGCTCAGGG